AATTAAACAATGACCTGAGAGTATGACCTCCTGCAGGTGCCAAAACATTTAAGAAACCTTACATTAAGCACCTTTGGATGGCTTATCAGCAATAATAATTTGTTTTAGTTTCACTACTATTTAATTTTCACTGGTATTATTTGTATTTGTAAACGCTTTTGAATATTAAATGGTCATTTTACAATGTTATTAATGACAAGCTTGATTTATCTTAACTTTTAATCTTGCGTTTTAACAGTTCTGTATCATCTAAGGTGTATCCTTAGCCATGTTTAGCTTTCAAACTAACTGCAAGTTGCTTTGGTTAGTTTTCCTTTAAAGGTGTAATTCATTGCTGGCAAGATAGGGTTTTAATAAAAGTTGGCTGCCTATACAGCACAAACACAGTTTTTTAAAACCAGTACTATAAGGCTAGAAAATGGGCTGTGAAAAAAAAGGTAGGAAAACTAAAACACCCATAATGCACTGGGCTCAATTAGACTATTTGTGAGCAGGGAAACAAAAATGGGGAAGTACGATCTGTAGTTTTCAAAAGTCAACACCCCTATACATATTTTAAATAAACTGTCATTTTTTATCTGCTTTGTTACAAAACATAATATTATTTCACAGTACATTAATTTTATAGTACATTATGTTCATAAATGGTATTACTGTGAGCCGTCCTCAAACTAATAGTGTTTGCAGAAACATGAATGTCAATGAAAATATTCTGTAGGCGTAAATGTTGTAAAGTACAAAGAAGATACAGTTTATTTCTGTTTACTGATACAATGGTCTTTGTGTCATCTTTTAATGCCAGTCTAGTTTTTAAGGTATACATGACATGGCATGATATGATAACATAGCATATGACCCAGCCTGTATGTTTGGTTTATTTTCAGATGATAACATTTGTTGAATTTAACAGGTGTGTACAGTATTTGATGATCATTCATACTATATCATGTATTATACATACATTTTTTTATTTAAATATATATTTATTTTTATTTAATGCTGTTTCAGCACTGGGCTTGTTCAGATTTCTTGTTGACATTAACTGGCAATTTCACCTGCCACTCTTTACTGTTTGCCAGTTTTTAATAACTTTTGTACATAGTTTACATATAGGACTTTCTGATCTAAAACTTTCTCAGTATGTCCCCTTGCTTTTCTTGAAACTTGAGCTTTTGGCTTAGGCAGTAGAAATTGTGTGTTTTGCATTATGCATATTCTTAGCACAAACATCATATCAGAACCCCTCAGTGCGTCAGATATGGAAGCCCCAAAGACGTTTTTACAGCATCCTACAAAAACCGAAATGTTTCGACAACTATAACTGTTAGAGATGTTGGATGAAAAATGGTTTTGCCTGAGAAATTGCAATTATAGCAAAGAATGTGCTGATGGTATTCTGTTTTTTAATGACATTCCATTGGTGAACAAAAACATCTGATTTTGTGAGATGTGATATATAGTAGGATTGTGCATAATAACAATTCATCTTTGTTTTTGAATATTGTAAATCCAGCTTTGAATATTGTCAGTCCAGTTGCTATTGTGGCTTTAATAAGTTAAAGGGGGTTAAATCCGGGTTAAATTCAAATATTGACAGCATATGTGACATGCATGTCCGTCAGTTTTTAAAAACAAAGACAAAACAATTGTTCAATAATGCGCTTACAATAAACGTTTATAGCTGAACAATGCTTTAAACAACTTTAAACTTTATTAATTCAAATGTGGGTTTTATTGAAATTTGCTGTCATAGAGTCTGTTTTCTATTGTAGTTTATTTTATTCTTGTGATGTCAAAGCTGAATTTTCAGCATCATTACTCCAGTCTTCAGTGTCACATGATCCTTCAGAATTCATTCTAATATATTAGAAATCATTCTAAAATGCTGTTTCGCTGCAACATTTATTATTATTATCAATGTTGAAAACAGTTTTGCTGCTTCATATTTTTGTGTAAACATGTTCTTAGATCAATAAGTTCAAAGTGGATGCAGTAATAGCATAACTGAGAAAACATTTCACACCTGTAGTCTTTTGCATACTCATCAACTATTAACGTCAATGGTAATGTTTCACTTATAGGGACTTGACTAATATATTGATTAATTCAACAGAGCTCAATCACAGTCCTTTTGCAGTTGCTGTCCCAGCATGCCTCTTGATTTCATCCATGCACCGGTGCACAAGTGGATCGTTTTAAAAACAAGGGAAAAGTAATTGCTTTTAGGCATAAAAGGAATTTTTGATCCCCTTGTGGCAATCTTTCACAGACAGTTAAGCATGTTGTCTTGATGATCGACAGCCTCTGCAGCGGGAGCAATCAAATTCATTCCAGAAGCAGCTGACTGGAGTAATTTTATAACAAGTCACCGGTCCTCAGATGCACGGTGCAAGCTTTCACATGATAGATAATCTTTGTTTAATGAGACATTCTTAGACAAGTTAACACAATATACAATGGTAAGGTGTACTAGAAAGTAGGGATGCACCGATACCACTTTTTCCAGAACGAGGTCAGTACCGATACTTTTATTTTTGGTACTTGCCGATACTGAGTACCGATACATGTATTTTCATTGCATTTGTCATTTTTAAAAATAACCAAAAGAATATGTATAATGTTAGTTATCTTTGATCATTTAGCAAATAGATATTTTCTTCAGTTTTTTCACACTTAATATATGCCCATTAAAATGTATTAAAATGTACAAGCTTTTGTTACTTTCACTCTTCATTTTTTGATCTATGGTACTTCATCTTTAATTTAATAGCACATTAGAGCTGCTCCATTGTAGCGGCTCGGTACCGTAAACACAAGGCGTTTCCCTGTAATAGTGTTTTCCTGTTATATTTAATGTTTATTATATTAATTAAATACATGTACTTCATAGACACCCTTAATCTCTTATAAATCCATTCTGCTCTCTCTTGTTCTGTTGTCGGTGTTTATTTGTCTGGACACAGCACTGTGCACACGCTGTGGTATCGGCTTTTGGTATCGGAGCGTTTTAACGAGTATGAGTACAGGAGCGCAGTATCGGACCCGATACCGATACTGGAATCAGTATCGGTGCATCCCTACTAGAAAGACAGATTATAGATCCATAATCTATATATACTGCAGTGTTAATGGTGTAAACAGTAAGTGTTTACTGTGAGAGTGATGTTGACTGAGAAATTCTAGTGAGAGGTGACAGTAATGAATTACTGCTCCCTCTGGTCCTGATCAGAGATCGCTGTGTATTGCAGTCAAAGTAAAACAATGTTTGCAACCAGTTTACTTCAGAAGAAAGGTACAAAGCTGTCACTGAGGTGGTATATATATATTTTGTGGCCAATAATTCAGAAGCCATTCATACAACATGTTTATTTGTGGCCACGATTTACTCATTTGTTCCCTCATTTTATTTAAATATATATTATTTATTTATTATCTATTATAATAAATAAATCTATTATGGCCATGAATTAAGTTGTCATTTCCACAACATGTATATTCGTGACCACGATTTATAAAATGGTTCCCTTGTTGTAGTAAATTGTGGCCACGTTGTACTAATTCATTCCCTCATTTTGATTTAACTAAAGCAAGGGAACAAATTAGTAAACTGTGGCCATAGTTGAAATAAAACAACGGAACGAATTAGCAAATAGTGGCCATGAATTAACAAGTCGTATGAACGTGTTCTTAATTCGTGGCCACAATAAAAATGAATAAAAATAAAAAATCTTACTGACCCCAAACTTTTGAACAATAAGTTGTGAGATGTGGAAACTCAATTAAAATTCACTCTCATGAATTGAAAGGGAGCCAGTTGTTCAATTATAAAAAAATGCCCAACCATGATATTAAGAAAGCCAACAACCCAACATAAATATCTGTTTTCATTTTTTGGTCAGATTGGTCCCCGTATTGTAAATCAAATGAGCATCTGTTAACTCTTAAATGTTAATGTGTAATCACGGTCAATTCATGTCTGTGATGTCTTCATGTGTCTATTGACTGATTGATCTTTTAAAAGTCAGCTGTGCATTATTCTAAAAATGAAAGAATAGTTTGTATACTGTATAAAATTCATGTTCAACTTTCATGCTCATAAGGCCTGTTGAAAGTTCTGCTTATCAGTTCATTTTGGTTATTAGTTGGCAAGTGTTCGACAGCTGTCTCAAGGAGAGAGTCTGACTCCAAATGTAAAGATGTCCCTTCCAACCACAAAGGAGAGAGTCAAATTGCATTAAGTTTGGTTAGAGGGTTTTGGCCACACATACCAGAGTCTGGAGCCATGTCTCAGCGTTTGGTAATACTGCAGTAGTAATGGAAAAAATCAGTCACAGCCTTACATAGGAGCATTTGGAGGTTGATTCAATATCCCAAAGCTGAAAATTTTTTCTTTCTGAGCTCCAGAAGACACGCAGGTTGTTTTTCTCACATTTTCCCTGACCAGAGCACCAAAACCACAACCTCAAACCTGGACAGGACAGCATGAGAAGTTCATCCCTGCTGGGATCTTGCCCTGTTTGGGGCTGAGCTGTCAGGATAAAGACAGCACTGCATATCCTGGCCATAAAACTGTCGTCCCACTCAGAGACAATTACCCTCCATGCCAACATTCCTCTTTAAATCCAACAATGCTTAGCGAAGCTCTGTGCTGAGGACTCTGGACCACCGCAATAGAACAAGGAGGTTTTTCACAAGATGCTTTGTGTGTTTGCTTCACATAACTCCCAAGGAGAAATGAAGGAGGAAAAACGTACCAGACCAGCAGTGGCCATGGTTGGATTCATACAGGTAATCCTTTCTCTATGTGGTTAAGGATTCTGCTGATCCACGGATGAAGTACATGACATCCCCTGAGCTTTACTTTGCTTTGAAGAGATGGCAGATTGGTTTTTATAGATAATTGTCCATCTGGAGAAAGAGTGGTTTGTTATGAGCTGAGAGGTTGAATCGGTTGAACAGCTGCAGTACAAAAGAGTGTTTTGATGTAGGATTTTATGAGCTGAGAGGTTGAATCGGTTGAACAGCTGCAGTACATTATCAGCCTGCTGTGGTCAACATGTCCTGCCTTGGAGATACAGCAACTCACTTAACAATCACATACACAGTCAGTCACTCACACAGTCAATGCTCACCATGGTCAAGCGGTGTTTGATCAAAAACTGCAAAACCAAAAACAAATAATGGGACTTGTGGATTTGAGGAGAAATTCTTAATTATTACACATTTGGTAAATGATATCACATGTTTTCATATATTTCTTTAATAAAATGTGTCTTCAGGTAAGATCAAATAATCCAGTTCTTGCATTATATTGGAAGATATATGGGAGTTAAGATACTTAGACTGAGAAGACGAGCATTAAAGGGTTTTGGGTGAAAACAGGGAACTTTATTTTGTTTGTTTGTTTTTTACAAACCCATATCTTGAGGATAAAGATACCAGGGATATTAACTGAAATTAAACCATAAAAACAATATGAAATGAAATAAAATAATGATAAAATAAAGATATATAAAAAACCTCAATTATATTAAAATAACACTGAAAGATCTTAACACTTTTCTGTATGAAATGGGATTATGGGTTACTGGCATGAACACTAACAGTGTTCTGGTATGAATCTTTGTTAGATTATTATTTTAATAAAAATCCTAAAAACTTTAGGATCTTGTGCAGGGAACAAGACCCACTAGGGGGCCTCAGCAAACTTTCAAGTTGCCTGAAAGAAGGCTTAAAATAATATAAAGTAAGTTATTATATTAAGTATTTAAATATATTAACATTAAAAATGATCTTAATTAAATCCAGATTACTGTTAGGCTATAGAAAATGAGGGACCACTGACAGATGATCTGGTGCCTTTATTCTGCTTGACGTGCGTCAGAAATGAGAAGAAAAAACAATCTTGTTGAAAAGAGTGTTGTCAGATTACGTTGGTTTGGACACATTTTGTGTAATAAGATTCATGCTTCTGTGTATGTGAAGATGCATCTTTTGTTTCCTTGGGGATCACTTTATTTAAATAATGCTGCCACCTAGTGTACATTCATGCTGTTTCCACCAAGGAGCTCTAAAAGACAAGAATTTCCACCGTCGTAAATATTATTTCAGCCTTCATTCCACTGGCTTCTGCGTCTGTGTATTGTTCTTTTATGAGCCAATAAATTAACAGGAAATGATAATAATAAAAAATCCTCAGTATATTATATATGGTATCTGAGAGCAGAGTTTGTTTATTAATTGACTGATTGATTGATTGATTAATTGCATAGGATTGAAACATGCGGTTCATTGGAAAAAAATAAAGATTAATAATAAACAAAATAAACTTTATTTAACACTAAATAATATATACTGGGGGAAAATAATAATTATCTTGTTTGTCCCCTAAAAGCAAATTCAAGATAATATATTTTTTTATTGAACAATATCAGTTTACAAACTCAAATGGGGAACAATAAAATGCATATGACAAAATATACACTTTACCAATCACATCTCCATCATACATAAATGTCCATGTATATATATATATATATATATATATATACTGTATATATCTCTACATACAATAACAACAAACAAAACAATCATTCTTAAAACATTTCAGGGGGTTGCAAAAAAAACAGGTACAAAATCTTACCAGTCTTAAAAGGAAAGAGGTTTTGGTTTTGTCATGGTTTTATACCATTCCCCATTCAAGATAATATTTGTGAATGTTGTAGTGTCCAAGGGCTTTACACTGTCGTTGTACAATTTGGGGTGTTATTTTATCTTTTAAATAGATTCATTACTATTATTCAGCTACATCCCCAATTCCAGAAAAGTTTTGGGACGTTTTGTAAAATGCAAAAAAAATCAAGAACCTGTGATTTGTTCATTCTCTTTAACTTTTATTTAATTGACAAAAGTACAAAGAAAAGATTTCCAAAGTTTTCGTAAATGTATTTTGTAAATGTAAACAAACTTTGATTTTGATGGCTGCAACACACTCCAAAAAAGTTGGGACAGGGGCGAAATTAAAATTAAAAGAATATCCAAATTAAACTGTTTTGAAACAGTTCACAGTAAGCAGGTGAATTGGTAATAGGTGAGGGTGTCATCGTGTTTGGGTATAAAAGGAGCATCTCAGTCTTTACAAGCTAAGCTGGATCCTGGCTCATCACTTTGTGCCAAATTTCATGAGAGAAGTGTCAAACAGATCACATTTCTCAATGCAAAATCGCAAAGAATTTAGGTCTTTCACCAACTACCATACATAATATTGTGAAAAGATTTAGGGAATCCAGAGAAATCTCAGTCTGTGTGGGGCAAGGCAGGAAACCTCAGTTGAATGTGCATGACCTTTGAACCCTCAGATGGCATTACATAAGAAACCTTCATGCTGTAGTGTTAAATATAGCCACATGGGCTCAGGAGTACTTCAGTAAACTGCTGTAACTTAACACAGTCTGCCGCTGCATCAGTAAATGCAACATAAATCTCTGTTACTCTAGGAGAAAGCTAAACATCAGTTCTATGCAGTGATGCTGCGGGGTTCTCTGGGCCAGAGCTCATCTCAGATAGTCAACAAGACAGTGTAAATGTGTGCTGTGCTCAGATGAGTCCACATTTCAATTTGTTTCTGGGAAAAATGGACGTCGAGTTCTCAGTCCCAAAGACCAAAGGGACCATCCAGACTTTCATCAGCGGCAGATGCAAAAGCAAACGTCTGTCATGGTATGGGGCTGCAGCAGAGCAAATGGCATGGGTGACTGGAATATGTGCGAAGGTACAATTGACATGGAGGCATATATTGGGATTGTACAGAGACATATACTGCCATCAAGATGACGTCTTTCATGGGAAGTCCATAGATATTAGATTAAGACAATGCCAGGTCTCATTCTGCATGTGCTACAACAGCGTGGTTTCGTAGACACAGAGTGAATGTGCTAGATCAGTCCAGATCTGTATCCTATTGAAAATGTATGACCAGTCATGATAAGGAGAATCAGACAACGACGATCACAGACTGTTGAGCAGCTGAAGTCTTGTATCAAGTGAGATTGCAACACAATGATTTGCAAAACTTTAACAATTATTATCCTCAATTCCCAAACAATTAAACATTGTAAATAAAAGGAAAGTTGATGTGACACCGTGTTAAACATGCCTTTGTCCCATCTTTTTTGGAGTGTGTTGCAGCCATCAAAATCAAAATATGTTTATACAGTATTTACAAAAAATAAAAATAAAGTTTGCCAGAACAAATAACATATTCTTGATTTTATGGCATTTCACAAAACGTCCCAACTTTTCTGGAACTGGGGTCGTAGGATGCATTAAATTGATGGCAAAAATAACAGTAAAGACATTTATAATGTTACAAAAAAATTATATAAAAAAAAAAAAAAAATGTTCTTTTGAACTGTGGTCCTCAAAGAATCTTGGGTAAAAATTCTCACGGTTTCCAGAAATGGTGTGATGTTTTCAGCAAAAAAAGTTTCTTGAGCAGCAAATCAGCATGTTAGAATGATTTCTGAACTATCATGTGACACTGAAGACTGGAGTAATGATGCTGAAAATACAGCTTTCAGGAATAAATTACATTTTAAAATAAATTAAATAAGAAAAGTTATTTTGAAATGTTTTACAGTATTTTGATTAAATAAGTGCAGCCTTTGTAACCATAAGAGATTTATTTCAAATGCATAAAAAGTCTTACAGACCCCAAACTTTTGAATGGTGTAGATGCTTGTAGTAACTGCAGTTTTAAAATCATTTTATAGTTTCTCTGAGGTTTAAACTTTAAACTGTTGTCTCTATTTACATATGAATGTATGTCTGTATAAAAGGATAACATGTAGTTTAGCAATCCAGTGTGGTTCTTTTTCATCTCGGGGAGGGAAGGAGTTGTATACGGTACAGATGTGGCCTGACCAACACCATACAGGACATCCTAAAGAGTAAGTGCCGTGCTTCTACGTTGTGTGTCCGTTTCATGCTTGCATCATGCATTTATGTCTTAATGTCCCTCTATGCAGTGATGGCGAATGGGACTTTAACTGGTGTGATTTTGGGTGGCTGAGAGAGAACTTTGTTCACTCATACATGGAGGAACATGTGCGGATATGTCACTTGCGCAACCACTGAGGTTGGTATTATACAGATTATGCAGATTATTATAGATTACTACTGAATGAATGTGTACTGAAAACAGGCACAAATTATTTATATTTTACAGTTGACCCATAAGAATCTGATGGTAAAAAACCTGAAGAGGTATAGAAAAACTTTAGAGCGGGAGGCTGGGCGTTTAGAGGCAGCCAAATGTGACTTTTTCCCCTGTACGTTTGTGCTGCCCAGTGAGTATCACATCTTTGTGGAAGAGTTTAAGAGAAGCCCAGGGAGCACCTGGATCATGAAGCCTGTGAGTGTTTATAGCAGTGCCCGGTCTACGAGACTGCCAGACTGATCATCAACACTGTTACAATACTTACCCAACACAGGTGGCACGATCACAAGGGAAAGGAATTTTTCTGTTTCGAAAACTCAAAGATATCATAGATTTGATTAGGGTAATGCACATTGAACCTTAAGGGGACAATTCCCACAAAAATTTAAATCTGTGATTTTTTTTTTTACTCACCCTATCTTGTCCTAAACCTGTTATGTTGTGTACTGTGCAGTTGTTGGTTTTAGGATGGGTCCCGCTCTGAAGAGCAGAAAGATGAGGCTCAAATTGAGAGCTATGTCGCTCAGCGCTACATTGAGAATCCCTACCTCATAGCTGGTACTTTTAATACTTTTAGCTTGAGTACTTTTTCTTTATTTGATTTAGCTCAACCTTTATTACTATTGCTGAACGTATCACGTAGTTTATGTCATGTCATGTATGTTTTATTATATCCATCACCAGGGAGAAAATTTGACTTGAGAGTCTATGTTCTTGTAACATCAGTAAGTACGATTTTTTTTTTTTAATGAAAAATGTTTTTCATAAATATGCAGTGCTATTTTTCATTGTTAAAGTACTGTCTACTGCTGCAGTAGGAAACTTGTTTGAAAAAGCCATTACTTTTGCAACTTTTACAGAAATTAAGGTGCATTTCTTCGCCATGTCGTAATTAGTGCAATTATGCCATTTTGATTTGTAAAAATGTTATACACTGTTAGGCATTTTTTGAATGTCACAGTTAAACAAGAAATATATTCATTAACAGTGCGTGCATGATACTTTCCAAAACTAAGGTACCAAATAGGGCTTTTAAAAGTAAATGGTCAAAGGGCTAGTTCACCCAAACATTAAATTTCTGTCATCAAAACTTCCAAAAACTGTATGACTATTTCTTGTTGAACCTTTTTTGTCAAAGGTCACCAAAACTATTTGGTTACCAGCACCATTCAAAATATCTTCTACAGAATTTTCATTTTTGGATGAACTACCCCTCGTTAACCTTAAAAAAAAAAATTCAGGAACTCAATTATAGATCAGTTTTATTTTCTAGTACTTTTATTTGAATTTTTCCCCCCAAAAAATTGTAGTTTTAATTTCTGTCTCTGTGATTTTGTTATTGTCTAGCAATATACATTAAAGGAATGGTTCACCCAAATATGAAAATTTGCTGTAAATTTACTCCAAGGTATAGATGAGTTTGTTTCTTCATGTGAACAGATTTGGAGAAATGTAGCATTACAATACTTGCTCACTAGTGGATCCTCTGCAGTGAATGGGTGCCGTCAGAATGAGAGTCCAAACAGCTGATAAAAACATTACAATAATACACAAGTATTCCACACCACTCCAGTCTATCAATTAATGTCTTGTGAAGTGAACAGCTACATGTTTGTAATAAACAAATCCTTCGCTAAAATGTTTTTCATTTTAAACCATCGCTTCTGGCTAAAAAAAAATCCACAATAACGTCCTATTATGTCCTCCAGTGAAAAAGTCCATCCCGTTGTCCTCTCACATTAAAATCCACTGTTTAGAACGGTTTTGGTTTGTTAACGGTGCTTGGTCTGTGCATATTTCTCTCCTGATTCAGATGAGATTCTAATTTGCATGGACTCTCATTCTCATTCGGCACCCATTCACTGCAGAGGATCCATTGGTGAGAAAGCGATGTAATGCTACATTTCTCCAAATCTGTTCCGACGAACAAACTAAATCGTGGATGGCCCGAGGGTGAGTAAAACAAATTTTCTTTTTTGATCTAACTATTCCTTTAAGTAAATATACAAATTAAAATCTATATAAAATAAATAAAATGTATTTTCTAATAATAATGGAACACCTAATTGTGAAAGGTGTTACATTATTTATTATAGCAGCATTTACTAACATCTCCTGCAATAAGTACAAATGCTTTTTGTTTGCCTTGTATTTACACAGGCTGTGTGAATTATCGCCAGAAACAGCTTTTAAAGCCTTTCCCAGGACAGAAGAGGACATGACAACATGCAAATGACATCAAATTAGTGTGACAAACTATGTATGACAATCCCACAAATACCCACAATTGTTACAATATGCACTTAAGGATTCAGATGAGTGTAAATATGAGCATTTTAATACCCGGAAGATATGGCAAAGTGACTAAAAATTTTCATTCACATCCTGAAAATTACATTGTCTGTCCTTGTTTACTGTTTTAATGAGAATACAATGGCCGTATCAATTCCTGCATTAAAGACTGTAGACAGAGGCTTTGATGAGGTAATGAAAACTGTTTATTTTGTATCTCATAAAAATAGCTGCATTTAACTCTACCAAAAAACTCCCAGCAAAATAAAAGCACAATCTGACAATGATAGGACAAAAGTATATTTTTGTGTGTTTTTTGCCTGATAAGGGACTTCACGCAGTACATAACATCCGAAATGAAATGGTGCTACATACTGTACATCAAGTATGGAAATGTGGTACCACGTACTGTATGACCTCAACCTGTACCAACTTTCAAGTCGTATTCAAGTGCCATGACAATACATTATACATATAAAACTACAAAACCACTACCATCATTGTTCCTGTAAAAATAAACAAAAAATGCTATATTTAGAGAAATGAAAGTTAATGTAATCACCTGAAAAGTTCTCAAAAAGTAAACAAACAGATAACCTTGACCATAATATCTTAACATTTTATAGCTCAGGTCCGTCTCCGTCAACACAAACCGCACCACCATAAGCAATTCTAACAATTCACAATTCAACGACATCTAACTTACTGAAAACCCAAGTAATGAGTTCCAAAACATTCAAAGACAAAACATTCTTATTTAACTTAAGTGTCAACTCATTGTAATAAACAGATAAATGATTTAATAAATAACAAGAAAATAAGTCTTTGTAAATAGCACTTTACAAAAATACAGTCATTACAAAACATTCATTATTCATCTCAAAAATATACATTCTTTGACCAATAGTGCTTACTTGACAAAGAGCCACAATCTGACATTCTCAGCCATACCTCCCTCAAATAAGAGATGTACATGCACACTAGATTTAAGAACATGTATTTCATTTTATAGAGGATTTGTGCGTACAGTAAGTAAAGATAGCCTGCTTTTGTGTACTTAGGCAAATAAAATAAATATATCTTATTCAAGAAATGCACTTTGAAGTTCTACTGAAACAATGACAATGAAAAGGCATGATTTCTAAAGAGAAGGATACTTTTTTAAGGTGCGGTCACATTTGTAGTTATCCGGCAAATTTTGATGGGCAAAATCCAAGCATTTCAACAGGAATCCATGCGATCCCATGCACATTTCAAAACGGGCTCAAAATGGGCTTGACCGACAGAAAGCTCAAAGTGAATTGTGTGCGAGTTATTAACAACAGACAATGAACATTTTTTTACCGCAAAATTTAGCCAAAATGCTAAATGTGACCGCACTTGTATCCTTTTCACAAACAACTACAGTTAACAGCAGGGGTAAGATGTTTTAAAGGGGTCATATGATGCTATTTCAAGTTTTCCTTTCTCTTTGGAGTGTTACAAGCTGTTCGTGAATAGATAAGATCCCTAAAGTTGCAAAGACTAAAGTCTCAAAGTTAAGACTCGTCCATGCCCTCCTAAAACGGCTCGTTCTAACACGCCCCCACATGTCTACGTCACTGTGTGGGAAGATTTGCATAACACCGCCCAAATGTATACGCAAAGAAAGAAGGCATAACTTTTATTCTCGGTGTAGTATTGTTGCTGCTTCCAAAAGAGGACACAACTAGAAATCAGTGGTTAAGTTGTATTTACAACACTGTTCCCGAACACTTCAAACCAAATATTCAGATGTGTGCAGCGCATTTTACGGAGGACGAGGACTGTTTCCTGGGAGAGTAGCCTACAATGCCAGTGTTCTGGTGAATTCAGTTCCCCTGTTTCCCCTTCGGTGCACATGCTGACCACAGTCTATGATGCTGACAAATAATGCTGACTCACAGCCTTTAAGTACGTTTTCATATTTAAAGGATTTGCCACTGACGATTCAAACGCGAGTTTTGAGCAGTGTAGAGTAGCGCTTGTTGTTTGTCGTTTCTCCGATCACAAATGCAGACATGGTTTTATGTTTACGCGGCGTGATTCAACGCAATGCGTAAAAAGACAGTATAAGTCATTATAATCCGTAATTACCTGTATGTCCCCACTGGATGCAACAAATGCCTCGTTTATAATGGGTTTTATTGGTTTTGTCTCGTCTCTCCGGCCGGGACACGGCATCACAGTATGTTAAGGGGCGTAACATTTCCGTCACACGCTTGAGGTATTCGGCCAATCACAACGCACTGGATAGCTGGCCAATCAGAGCACACCTCGCTTTTCAGACCGATGAGCTTTGTAAAAATCGACACGTTTCAGAAAGGTGGGGCATAGAAGAGAAACAATAATGTACAGTATGTGGAAAATAATTAGTTTTTTTAACCTTAAACCGCATAAACACATTTCATTACACCAAATACACAAAATAATGGTCTTTTTTAGCAACATCATATGACCCCTTTAATTAGCTCTTCTTTACAGTATGCAAAATGTAAATGTTTTTGAGGCTACTGAAAATTGCGTGAAAGGTGCACTAACTACTTAGCGTATTGAGAATTTTTTATTTTGCCAGGAGTCTTGGTAGCTGACATTACCTTTGCATCGCAGCCATCAGTGACCATTCTTTTAATGCCAGATCTTAGTCGTACTTCAGCCGTTTCGGCTCTTGGACCATCCTTAAACATTTTTTTCCCAGGACCACCACCTTCGCGTTTCATACCGACAGGATCCCGCCTATCAACCCCTCCACATTTTGCTCCAGGTGGATCTTTTTGTTTGTCTGCCTCATTTGACCTTCCAGTCTTTCCTTTCCTGACAGAAGAATGGGATTTGCCATTTGTGTTAAGTTCATGAGACGCCCTGCGCACATTTCCCACGGCTTGCATGTGCTTCTGATGAGCCTTTGCTGCCTGAGGACTGACTGGGAGCTGGTTTTTCAAAGTAGCACGGTTTTCGGAGGTGGAAGCCCGGCTTTCGCTGCTGCTCCTCTTTTGGGTGTTGGCAGGGGGAGCTTTGCGCTCTAGCAGGGGGCTGAGACGGGAATGCCGCTGGTAGGCGTACGAAGAGCAAGTGCCATTGCAGAGTGGATAGCGGATGTGGCAGTGCGGGCAGACAGGACGAAAAAGCTGAGTGTACGATGGGCTGGCCACTGAAGAGAAGAAGGCCTGCTGACCCTGCCGAAAGCTTTTCGGGGAGCTGAGGCGTGTTGGAGGAGCAGTATGAGGCCTAGGCCGGTTGCCGTTTGCTAGAACACTGGCAGACTGACCTCTTGTTCGGATGATGGGCACAATGTGCCGTCCGCTCTCAGCCTGAATGGTTTGGATCTGGTGCCACTCCAGCTGGAGGAGGCGCTCTAAATACTTCTCTAGCTGCCCTACGGGTTTCGGCCGGGGAGCCCACTTACCCTCCGTGTTGAGGAAGATGGCGAGCTGCCTCAGGCTCCAAGTATTGAACGGAGGTGGCAGGAAGTCTGGGTAGCTATAGCTGACTTCATTGTTCTCCACTGTCCTGGGTCCAGGTATGTGGGGATGCAGGTCCATGGAGTTGATTACTTCGGCTCGAAGGTTGAGCTGAGGAGGAGTGCAGGGGGAAGGCAGCACAGGGAGCCTCTCAGAGTCGGACAGGTCACTGGCGCTGTCCGTGTCGTCCTCCTTGTGCTCCAGGAAGTGGAATGAGTCCAGGTCTGGGAGTTGTTTCTGCGAGGGAAACTGCTGCAGCATTGGCTGAGGAGCCAAGGGCAGCGATAGAGCACGACGGCTCTTCTCCAAGGCCACGTGGCTCTGTAGCATCTCTTTACAGCACTGAGGCTCCAGTTGGATTTTCTGCGGACAAGACAGTTTGGGACGTGGAGGCCTCAGGTCTGATTCACCCTGTGTGCTGCAGCAATAGTTCGAGAGAGATATTTTATCAATATATTTATTAGGGCTGGTTTGACAACAATACTGATTACTTGACTTTCATTTTGATGAACTGATATCGTTCTTAAATTCCAAAATTAATTCTGTTGATGCATGAACAAAACATCACTAAAGATCATTTATAGTATGTCTCCCATCCAGTGATTGTCGTTACTACAATTGTATCAGAATTTGAAAAGTAAAATGTCATTTTGATCCTCTTTAATGTGGCGTAAAAGATCACTGCATCTGACTCAGTTCAAGCAGCTTGTGAACTAATCATCTCTTCCTTTTTCCTACTAGTTTTAGCCAGGGGTGTCGCTAGACCCTTTTTATGATGCCACATTCGCAAATGAATCACTCGTTTCTAAACTAATTAGTCAAACGGGTTTCCAAAAAGGTCTGGAAATGTTCGTGATGCAGTTTGATTCATTTGGACAGTTCACTCATGCACTGAATTGTTTCCACATCAAAACAGTAACAGAATACTTTACAAGACAGAAGAGAGTTCTGGATAAGAAAATAAGATAAAAAGAGTGCTGGATGAGGTGGATATTTACAATCCATTTAAAGGAGACATATTATGCCCCTTTTTACAATATGTAATATAAGTCTCTGGTGTCCCCAGAATTTGTCTGTGAAGTTTCAGCTCAAAATACTCTACAGATAATTTATTATATAATTTTGAAAATGCCTATTTTGAGTGGAAGCAGAAACACGCTGTTTTTCGGGCCTGTCTCTTTAAATGTAAATGAGCTGCTGCTCCCCGCCTGATTTTCCAGAATAGAGCTGCGCCATTACAGCTCGGACCTGCTAAAAGCATCTGTTTTGGTTCTGATTATCATGTTTATCGCGCTGAAATCATGCGTTTTAAACCATATGAGTTTAAACCTCTGATATACGGTTTTCTGAGCGCACACATCCGAAGCACACGGACAGAAAGCGGCTGTCACAGCATGTGAGTACTAAACTAAGTTCTCATTCACTCACAAATTTACGTTAAAAACACACGA